CCCCCTGCCCTGTCCCCCCGCCCTACCTCGTACACTGTAAACTGGCTCTGCGCTCGGGAGAGCTCCCGGTAGCTGGTGGCAAACTCCCCAATGAAGTCATGGCTGCGAGAGGAGCATGGGGGTTGGTACGACCAGGTGCCCCGGTGAGGGGCACCCTGGGAAGCAGTGATGGCAACCCGATGTCCCCTGCCACCCCATGGGCACAGCCTCACCTCCCATCCCGGTCCCAGTCGTACACGTCTATCTTCACTGTCCTGAAAGCGAAGGCGGGCAGGAGGTGAACCACCAGCCTGGCTGGCATGGCCCTCCCTGCCCACCCTGGTTTGGGGACACCCAGCCCCGCAGTGCCCCGGCAGTGAGCACCCTGCCTGCCCGCTGCCGGCAGAGCTGTCCTGCCTGCCTGGCCCACATCTCTGCTGGGAGGGAAGTGGGAAATTTGGGTCACGGCAAGGGCCCTGGAAAGGAGGGGGATGCCTTTATGTAATTTGGGTTGCAAAAGAAGAAAAAAAAAAACCAACAAGGACCCAATTCTGAGCTGCCTGCCACTGCGGGGCCAAACCTTGCTCTGTACCCACAACCACCCCTATCACCATCCCCACTGCACTACCCCACTCGCTGTCCCTGTACCGGTCATAGTCGCCGTTGCAGAGGGCGCGCACAGGGATGGTGAAGGGCTGCCACACCGGGTTGAGTGTATTCTTCACCACCTCCGTCTTATGGCAGATGGTGAAGCTGTGGGGACAGGGCAGGGTGAGGGTGTGCTGTACGGTGACACCGGCACCCTGCCTGCCCCACCAGGCCCCCATGCTCACGTGCCATCCTCGTTGCTGCGGTAGAAGACGAGGAAGGGGTCGGATTTTCCAAAGAAGTCCTTCTTGTCCAGCTTGTTGGCACACAGCTGCATCGTGACGATGTCCTGCAGACAGGGGCTGTCACCACCAGCTGCCTCCTTGTCCCCAGACTCAGCAGCCACTCGTGCTGGGGGGGCCACACAGCCCCTGCCTCTCTGCTGCCAGGACACAGACACTCACCCGGCAGTTGCTCAGTTCCTCAGCCAGCAGCAGGATGGTCCCACACCGCTTCCCCGGGACCCCCCTGGGACCAGAGGTGCCATGTCACCTTGGGGACATGGAGGACGGGACAGGGGCAGAAGATGGGGTCGGGGTTGGGGCTCGTGCCCCACAGCTGGCACTTGGCAGTGTGGCCAGTGTCCCCAGTAGGGGACATGCAGGGGTGGAGTCTCATGGGGTGGGTGGCTGGGGACATGATACGGGAACCCCCCTTGCCCTGCCACGAGGTGTGACTCACGTGAGGGGTCTCTCCAGGCGGCCCCGCTGGGACCCGATCACCTCCCCCAGCGCCACGAACGCCTGCCCCAGGAAGTCCTGCACCCCGAGCACAGTGCCATGAGACCCCGAGCAACACCCCCCCAACACCCACACCCCCACCTCGCCCTCCCAATGCACCCACGGGACCTGCCGCCACCCTGCCCTGTGGCCACACCAAGTACCCTGGACCCACCCTACACCCCAAAAGCCCCTTCCCCGACTCATCCTGCACGTCCAGGACCACCCCAGGTGCCTACTCCATATGCTCTGGACCCATCCTGTGCCACCAGGGCCATTCCACAGCCCTGGACCCATCTTGTGCCCACCCCAGAGCCACCCCGCGTGCCTTAAACCCATCCTGCACCCCTCAGGCCACCCTACACCCATCCTGTACCCCCAAAGCCACCCCCATGGTGCGTCCTGGCCCCATCCCACACCTTTCCTCACCAGGCACCCCTGTGAGGTTGGTGCGTGGTGGACACCTACCTTCTGCCAGTCCCCATGGGGCATGGAGAGATGGAGAGTGGGTTAGAGCCCCCCGAGGCTGGTGGCACCTGTCCCCCCCTGACAGCACCCACATGGGGCACGGCCTTGGGGTACCCCACTGCAGCGTCACACCAGGGTGTCCCCCCGGCATGGGCTACACTCACCTGCTTTAAAACGGAGCAGCTCTTGGAGTCCACGTTGTAGCTGGTGATGGAGAGCAGAGCCCTGAGCCAGTGCCCACGGGGGTGCCCCGGCATGCAGCCCCGCTTCCCCCACCCGTCTGTGCTTTTCGCTGCTGTATCCTTATTTATTATTGCTATTTATTACCCTTATTTATTATCATGATTTACTACCGACTCGGCACTTTGTTCCACCCCGAGCTGGGGCTGAGCCCTTCCCTGGCCACCCCACTCACACGTCGAAGCGGAGGTTTTGCTTTTCCTCGAAGTAGTAGTCGAGGACGAACTTGCGGACGAAGTCAGGGTTCAGGGTGTTGTCGATCACCTCGGTACGCCCAAACTGCAGAGAGAGCGGTGAGGGCGCCCCCCCCCCCTCCCTGGTACCCCTCCCCATCACAGCTGCCCCGGCGCTAATCCTGGCGGGGGGATTAGCACTGCTGGCGGGGCTGGATCATTAGCGTGGACATGGAGGGATCATTAGCGTGTATGTGGGTGGCCATATGGGCCTGTTTAACTCAGCCAGGGATTAGCCATGAGCGGGGGCACTGGGGGTGGCAGTGCCCCTGGCACAGGGCTGGGAGCATCCCCAGGGACCCAGCAAGAGGAGCTGCGCTCACCTCCTTCCACTCACTGCTCCCTGAGCCCTGCACGAAGAGGACCACCACTGCGGAGAGAGGAGCAGAGCTGGGCTACCGTGCCGTGCTATGCCATGCCATGCCCCCTGCCCGGTCCCGCCACCCACCTGGGTCAGACTTGGAGAAGGTGTCCATGTCCAGCAGGTTCCTGGGGGGACATATCCAGGCGTGAGCCACCCTGGGTGCCACCCACCCAACCCCGCAGTGGGTCCCCGTGTCCTCTCCCCTGATCATGGGACAGCACCATGCCAGAAAGCCATGCCAGCACCCTGGGCCGACGCACTGGCTCCCACCGCGGGGTTCAGGGGGACAGTGGGGCAAGCGAGGAGCAGCATCTCCAGTGCTGATGATGATTGAACATGACAGGGAACCCATTAGAGGATGGAAACCTTCCCCCGTGCTGCCGGCGACGGCTGAGTGCCCGCCGCACCCCGGCAGCGGT